AGAGAGAGAGAGAGAGAGAGAGAGAGAGAGAGGTGTTAGAGTGTATTGGGAGGAGATGTCAAACTTTGGTCACAAGAAGTTATGATTGCAAAGTTTTGTCACAAAAACTTAGAGCACCGGTAGATAAAGCAATATAAGTGTGTCGTAATCCATACACACATTAGCGTTGATTTTTAATGACATTTAAGATACAATTATTGATAATCTAATAGTATTTAACTCATGTTGTCTAACAATCTTAGACTAAGACTTCATTATAATACATAAAAATACATTAATTCTCTATCTGTTTGTTTGTACGAGTATTTCAAATACTACAAACATTAGTGCATCGAGTAATTAGAATTGTATTGATTATGCTAAATAAACAAAATAATTATTTTACAATCCATTTGAAATGAACATATTCATGATTAATTTAGTATTTCAATATTGGTATCCTAATAATGTACAACGAAATGTACCATTTTAAATGTATTATAATTTCCATTATGCTAACTAATCCTATTATGAACTTATCTCATAAAAGAGTTTTTCGCTGAGATATTTTCCGTATATAAAAGCAAAGTCTTTATTATTTGTTTTTAATTTTAAGTTTATTCTTAATTATCATTAAAAACTTTTTACTTATTATTATTATTATAACTTATATAATGTATTCAACCGTTTTCTTATATAACGAGTGCCTTAATATTTATTAATTAGTTAATTAACTCAAGGATTTGCTTAAAATTATAATACATTAAACATCTGGAGAGAGAGAGAGAGAGAGAGAGAGAGAGCAGATGAATGTAACTGTGTTGTGTTGTGTTGTGTGCTGTGTGTGAGAGTTAGAGTGAAAGTAAAATTCTTGGAATAGGATTTTTTGTCACCGGTGTATGACTTGACGCTCGCCTTCACCTCCTCGTAATATATGCCACGAATTCAATAGAAATCTCTTTTTGCTTCATTCACTTAACCTCTAACGGCATATATTTTGCCCTTTTTTCTCTTTAAAACCGTAGCTCTATTTTGAAGGGCTTTGAAATAGTTTTTGGATTTGATTGTATGATTGTGTTGTAAGTCCGCTATAAAACCGATAACTCTCTGCTGAAGGCTTGACCAACAGATGTGATGCTTTTTTGTACTCATTGTGCTCACTATGCTGTCTGTGCTGACCCATTGCTATCGGTTTGCCATTTATACAGTATTATAAAACCTTGAGTTGATCTTACTTTTAGGCCATAAATCAAGGTTTCATTATTTACTTTTAAAATAGATATCCGATTCTATGTCAATAAATACCTGTTTAATAAAACTCAATTCACATCATTTATATTATATAATTATATCACTACTATTGATAATATTTTGTAACAAATTCAGAATAAACGGTATATTTATATAAAGTTATTCTAATTAAAGTATAATTGTTTTATACACTTTATATTGTGATAAATACACACTATGGATAATTTATATACATGTAGTTTTACCTTTATAGACGCTTTACTACAATCTACTATATTTTATAATAGTTTTTAAATTAAAATTCTCTTTCTAATTGAGTCCTCATTTCTAAAAAGTTGTCTTTTTATTGTAGTTATGTATTTGTATTATTCCTTAAATTTTGAAAATTCATTAAAGCTTAGAGTAAATGGTAGTGCTGTATATGAAATGGTATATGTAATGACCGCCAAGTTATTAGCAATTTGTCTTTTGAGACAAATTTGTAGTTTTATACAAACTAATAAAATTGATTCAAAGTATTGTCATATATGTGTGCATTCCGTCTCAGTTAATCAAATGTGAGCCAAATATTGTAATTATTATGATTGCAGTTATTTATATTCTCTGCTCTAATATATCTAAAGATTGAATCAAATTTTATGAATATATATATATTTGATTGAAAAGGAGACATATAGAGGAGTATCTAATCAAATGGTAATGATGGCAAGTGATGGCAAGTGATGGCCACTCTTTTATTACCTCAAACCAGAGTAAACAAGAGTTATGTGCCTTTTGGACCAAACTGTGTCTAATAAATGCAATATTATTAATAAGATGGACAAAACATTGTACAGCTGTTAACCATATTCTTCCGCATTAATACATTCACTAATACATTGAGTTTTCTTTATGCAAAAGTCAAATGTAATAACGCGTCAAATGATATTAATTGTGACAAAAATCAAATACTTTATAAATAATAATATAATTGAAAACTTAGCGCTGACTGACAGTCTGTAAACACTTTCTATTCAATATGTTTTTATTTCTAAATTGATTATAAATTTTATATAAAATATATTTAATTGAAGTGCAATTAAACAGAGAATAAAAGTTAGACTAAACAACAAACTAGCGTTTAATTTGATTGTATGACTCATGCATTAGATTATAGAAAGTATTGTACGGCTGGCCATAAATACAGCCCTAAACGGACAGTTGTGCTCAAATAGTCAATAGCCAACTGACCCAACATAACACAACGTAACCCAACTCTCCAGTAGTTTTAATTGTAACCATAAAAACTCCTTAACATTAAAACACAATTTAATTACATTTTCACTCCATTTTTTCATTAGAAAGTTAGGAATTCATTGAAATTCACTCTTTCTTATCATTAGAGAAGTTGTTATGATATTAAAGACAGAAGTTTGGGAAACAAGAAAATAAGAAATTTGTTTATTAAGGACACAAAGCTATATAATCTCTAATAAATAATTTATGTATAAATTTTAGACTCAAAATACTCTTGAGATACGAGCAAATGGTTTATTGCTAATAACATACATGTAGTGTACAGTGTATAGTATAGTAGAATATTATATTATTATTTTAGTGCATAACATATTTTCATAAATTAGTGGACCGTTTGTTTGCACATTATTTGGTATCAGTATTTTTAGGTCTTTACCAAAGTATAGTATTTTGTTTACTGAACTGTTTTGTTGTTTACAGCACCCAATCAAACACTGGACACATAACACTATGTTATGCACTATATTCTCAGTCTATATGTCAAAAATGTTTTGTTTTTCATATACACTTCAATATCTGGTCACACATTTCCGCGTTATGTGTGATCTCAATGTTGAGATTGTAGTCCGCGAGTCAGTCGTCAAGCACTTCACTCAACCAAACCTCATGTGTCCACTCGTTTCACTTCTGTACCCCTTTTCCCCTTTTTTTTGCAGCACATAAGCCGTATTCAAGTGCTTTCATTGTGCTGTATATGTATACTGTATGCATAGAATGTATGATATAGTATAGTACTGGACATTACTCTCTATCATATTTTCATGTATTATAAGCTGACAAAAAATGCTAGAATTCAATTAGTAATGCAGTTTTGGCAATCATTTACAAAACTTATCGCAAATATTCACTCAATTTCTGCCACTATTTTCCCTTATATTCTATGGCAATATACATGTATATAAGCAATGAGAAAATTTCTCCCCTAAATTTCTATTTTGTCAAAACTATATTTAGTAATCATATTGTGATAGAGTGGTGACTGAGTGTTGATAAAGTAAAGACACGGATTATAACCGGACTTTTTAGTTGTAAATATGTTTTAGGCTTTGACCCCTGCCTTCCCTCTCTGCGCCCCATTTGTCTCACTCCTCTCTTTAGCTTTTTTGTGATTTACATATAATAATCACATGAGAGATGTTTGTCACCATTCAATTTCCACCACTGCTAAAGTTTTCATATTATTAACAATTAATTTATTGTTTAATTTGAAAATATTTTATTTTATATCAGCAAAACATACCAAATTTTTATAATACTTGATTAAAATATTGATTTTTACGAAATTGTTTGTGTTGTTAACATAATTGAACCGAATTTGACATTTTGTTTAACCAAATGAAAAATATTGTAAATTTAATTTAAAATTGAGTGATTATTGAAAGTAGAGATCGTTAAGAAATATTAAAGTGAAATATTTAATAGTATTTGAGACCCAAGTCTTGATCAACTTATTGTTGAAGATCTCGACTCATAAACTATTGTGTTTGAAGGACCAGTATTTTGTTGATTTACTTTCTACAGTATTAACGTTGTATTACATAATCTATAAGTAAAACGTTAATCCTTTGCAATAATCTTTTGTAAGGAAGTCTTCTAATAGGCATTAAGACCTATTAATCTTATATAACTTATATATACAATTCATGTCCACCAGTCAGTCGTCAGTCACAACTCAAACAATGATCGATATCTGAGTTGTGAAGTCCAACCAATCGGCAAATTCCTGTCTCAACCCTCAATCGGCGCATATCTTCTACAAAATTAGGTGCAATACTAAGTCATATCCTAACTATTAAAACAAAGACTATTTTTCATTCATCTAATTATTATGTTTTATTTCATTTATACCTAAGTATAGTATACATCGCCTTCCTTAACAAACACGAATCAATTAATGGTAAGTTTTAATAAGTATTTGACTAACAATTCATATAAAAAATTGTTTGATATTTCGACTAAATTTAATTCCTTTCGATTCCTTCCACTCCTCTCACCCCCTCTAACCCCCTCTCACCCTACCATCCCTTACTAACAAATAACATATTGTTGTTACTACATGTAGTTTGTATACCTGAACAAGCTGTACTCTAACTCTTTTATGAACTATGTTAATCTTATGACAATGTTATTATACGTCGATGATTTATTAAATTACATAACTTTTAAGTCTCAACATATCTGTATGCTATATATTATACAATTTTGCTGAAAATGACTTGAATTGCAGTTAACTTGATTTGTTTAAAGCTTACTAAAATATCATGATGTTAGTTTCTCTACATAACAGTAACATTAACAGTAACTCTACATAATAGTTGGTGTTTTTTGTTTTAAATCTTTTGTCATGTAATTAACAAATTGATAATAAGTTAATCAATGAAACGAAGTATTATTTTTGAGTCATTTGTGTTTTTATTGCTTTTTGTGAACCGAGTTTCTCGAGTGAACTGAAACACGCGTTGGGCTAAAGGTTTTTGACATTAAAATCGCGCGTTTCGTGTGATTGCATCCGACTATACGATTAGGATAATAGGCAGACAAGAGAGCACTGAGACTCAGTCAGACTCCTGCACTGCTAGTGCTTAAGGTTTGCCAAAGAGTGCGTCAATGGTTCGCCCCATTGATTGTCGAAACGCGCGATCGAAAGCAACTGACCATTTGGTTTGTGAGATGCCGAGTGACCGGTCAGTAGATACACATTCAGATACCGCTAAAGCCAGACACCACTCACTATCATTCTCTCTCTCTCTCTCTCTCTCCCATTCATTGGTAATGAAAAATTGCTTCACATTTGCATATTGTATATCGAGTCAAACAATTGAAACATAAATTATATATATTTATACCATTTTCACTAAAAATGACAACTATTTCTACAAATACTGTATAATATTTAAAACTGTAAATTAATTCAATGTTTGAGTTAATAGATTAAGAAAATATAGATTATTGTGTGAAACATACATGTAATCAATATTCTTTAACTAATAATGTCGATTACAATCGATTTATAATAAATGATAATATTGTAGAATTCATATAATACTGTATACTGCATATTTCTGCACAATTATTAATTTTTAAAATATATTTTTTCATGTGTACAAAATTATGAGTACAAGATTACCTTTTAATGTATACCATATTTATTTCATTTATAACAATTTATTTATAAAGTTAATTATTATGAACTAAAAAATATTGACAGCATTTATGAGCATATTTAATAGTAAAGTTATTGTATATATTTCTTGATTGTTAACATTCATATGATATGCAAAGACTTACAAACAGAACAAACATGATATGCGAGTCTTTTCTCAACCTTGGCTTTGGCTTTGACCGACTATTTTTAGGGTCGGCTCTAACTCTCTATTTGTTGTTATATATATTGTTCTCTAGTGCAATATAGTGTAGTGAAGTGTAGTGCAATATAATGTTATACATTATCTAACAATTTTCAATATATTCCAAATTTGAAAGCTTCACTAAAAAGACTGTTCAATGCCTTCAAGGCAAAGGTCGCCAAATATATTGAAAAGTTTTCTTCTGTGTAACAATTCAGTAGAATATATGGGTTTTTAGAGCTCAAAAACTCACAACAAAATCAATTCAGTTCCTTATTTAGAGTCCAATGGTTAACACAATTGCAGAATATATACCAAATAAAGAGAAAGGTATCTCACATCCGGTCAGCAGCTGTTGCTTAATGTGAATGCTATACTAATATATGAAAATTATAAGTACTTTATTAAATATGTTTAAATAATTTCTTAATACAGTATATACCAAATATACCTATTATTATTATATACAGTAATTCTGTGTAATTTTATTGAAGCTTTCAAATTTTGGATTATATTGAAAATTGTTAGATAATGTATAACATTGTATTGCACTACACTTCACTACACTATATTGCACTAGAGAAAATCTTGTAAATAAATATTATGTTCAATAAATTGTTTATATTTAAATGAAACCGCTACCAAGTCTCATAAGTTATTAATTTAAATCCGTAGTCTTTTTTGAAGTGAACATATCGTATATAATGAGCAAACATTTGCAATAATTGTTGTTTTCAAGTTATTATAGCGGAAACTGGACTTAACTTAACAGAGAAAGGGTTCGTCGAGCGAACACTTCCTGGTCTGGTCTAAGCTCTCAAGTTTTAAATCACTAAAAATGTTGTGCTCTATTGAACAGACATGTAATTTAGTTGAGATCACACAAAAGTGAAACAAACGTCAGTAATGGTAGCACTGGTGGCACGCGTCCAACCGCTCGGCAATCAGCTGACCGTATCGAATGGGACATATGGCCAGCCATACCATACCATACCATACCATACCATACCATACCATACCATACCATAACATTTCTTACGAATAGTTCAGTTTTCATCAATTTTTAAGATCTTTTTCCCTATCTATAAACAAACCAACGAACATCAGGAGGAAGGGAGAGAGAGAGAGAGAGAGAGAGAGAGAGTTGAGGGCATTATGTGAAAACTATAGTNAGGCTTATATCGAGGGAGAGAGAGAGAGAGAGAGAGAGAGAGAGAGAGAGAGAGAGAGAGAGAGAGAGAGGAAGGAGAGCATAGGTCATAAAAAAGTATGCGGAAGGATTACTTATTGATTATCATTCGTATGGATAATAATAAGAGATGAACTTACTTTGTAGATATATCTTGTGGTACATATAGAGAAATGTTTAAATTTAATAATTTATAAAATTTAAATAAATATTTGGTTTTGTTCTTCAAATTTGAGCGAAATGTATGTAATAAGTTATTACTAATAACCTATTGTCAATAGATTCGTGAGTTTTCTTTAATATTATATTAATTTATTTGTTGTGTATTTAAATCATATTTTAAATAAAAATATAATAAAAATTAGTGTTTCTATCAATTTGCAAGTATTGATTAATAAACTTTGTAATCCAAAGTTGAGTAACAGATATTTGGATGGATTGTAAATGCAATGAAAGTGTTATTGAAATTCATTTTGGTTTATGAAATAAATACGAAGAATGGGATGAATGGTATTGATTGGCACAATGTTCGGGTACTAACATTATTTGGTCAGTAGACTTAAAATAAGGGTTTTCTAACTCAATAGATATAACGGTTTATAAGAGTAGGACATAAACTACATAAACTACTGTACAAAGTTGTGACTGAAAGGGAAGGGTTAACAGCGAAACACCAAAATAACGAACCCTTTCAATCAAATTATAGCGAAAGAGTGGACCGACACGTCATACCAGTGGCACACGTATGGTTCCCCTATAGGGTGACCACATTTAATATTGCTTTTTAAAGCATAGTTTTGTATATAATGCCGATATTCGAGTAGATTTTTGCCGATTATGGCATAAAACAATGGCGGTTGACTTAATTTGCGTTTGGTTATAAAAATAACTCCAATAGATCAATTATATATTGATAATAAACTATATTAGATAGATAAATTTATAGATAGTGTAACCGAGTTAATTGAGTGACTATTTACTTCATCATATTTTTTACCACTTCTGTAGTATATTTAAAAACAATGGGTAGTTAAAAATATTGTAGTTTTGATTGTTCCGATTTTAAACAATGGGCATATTAATGATTTTTATGATAGTACAGTATTAATTATTTTTATAATTATAATTAAATAAACAATTAATTATTTAATATTATAATTTGTACTAAGGTCAAGTTTTGCTGAACATGGAGTAAAACTTGTATAGTTCGATAGGAATGACATTTTGTCGCTCTACTATTGTGCACGTGTGTACATTACAGTATACAGTGTACTGCGGTATACTCTGGTACTACAGTATAAGTTATACTTAAGGGTTCCATTTTTCGGGAATTCCCGAATAAAATAGTTAACAAAATCATCGGGAATTATGTACCATTAGGTTTAGGGTATATAATAGACCAAAAATATATAAGTTTTATTTTCCCGATTTTTCCCGATTTTGGCTTATTTTGTGAAAATTCCCGATTTTAGCATATTTTTGAGAAAATTCCCGAAAAGTCTATTTTTATGACATACTTTCTCATACTTTCATCACATTTTGTGGTAAAAATAAATCGATGTAAAAGTAAACATAAGTGTTTCGGTAAATAAAATCTGTTTAATGTTTTGTTTACTCACATATAAGTTTTATTTTCCCGATTTTTCCCGATTTTGGCTTATTTTGTGAAAATTCCCGATTTTAGCATATTTTTGAGAAAATTCCCGAAAAGTCTATTTTTATGACAAATATTCCCGAAATTAAATATTTTTCGAAGAAAATTATTTATTTAATAACTATAATATTTCACCAAAACTCGTAATAAAATTCTAAACTGAATATGACTGAAATCAAAACATGTTTTGTAATCCATAAGATGTCTTACAAAATATATATTAATTATCTCCTTTGAAGTCTAGCGTTCTTTCTCTCAGTTTAAGATTATTCTCAGAGATAGAAGACTAAAAAGGCACAAATTTCATGCTATTATCAATTATAATTCATTTGTAAATGATTTATATGTATAATGATTGTGTTATAATTGAGTAAAATCGTATTTCCCGAATTTTCCCGATTTTGGCCTTTTAATTCCCGAATTCTTTATATCAAGTCACGTGTTTGAATGTTGTAATTTACATGTAAGATTCAGAAAACGTGGTAATTTACAAGTAAATTACCGTAAATTACCACGGTAAAATGGTAATTTACCGAGTGTCACAACCCTAGATAGGAATGACATTTTGTCGCTCTACTATTGTGCACGTGTGTACATTACAGTATACAGTGTACTGCGGTATACTCTGGTACTACAGTATAAGTTATACTGTATAACAGTATGACCTGAAGACCATTGATAACCATCTGCCCTTTCGGACAACAAAAAATTTAAAATACTGTATTAAATGTGTGTAAAATAAAAACAATAATTTTTATTCTATTTCATGGAAATATAAAAATATATTAATTGAAAGAAAATAGGGTTTATTCGATAAAATTGTGGCAAATAAGTGCCAATAAGAGAGACATACATTTAGTGTACGCATAGTTTGATTACAAAGATTGAGAGGAATTAATGATAAACTTTTTAGAGACTGAGTTAATGAAAAAAGTTTAGTTCAAATGCAATAAAGTGTGAAAAGAGAGTAATATGTGAAGAGATGGTCCCAACTGTGATCTATATCTCAAGTATTATAGAGTGTGTACTTAACGTGAATTAAAACTTTTGGTTCGACTCAAAGAACTTTTATTAGATGGTGAAAGAGTTGCACATTTCTAATAACTATGCCTTTGATTTATACAATCATACAATCATTCTGTATATATTGAAAGAGTGGAACAAACGGACAAATTTCATCAATTCATTGAAGCAAACCTTTCGACGCAAACACACAGCCATTAATCCGATCAAAACCAACAACTCATATAAGACCTAACGATTAGCCTTCAATCTTTTGCTTTCTTTTGTGCACATACTTTACCAGCCAATACATACCGTCCGCACTGTCCATCAGTCCCACAGCATGTATGCCTACTTTGCCCTACACTACACCACTACCAACGCTACAACACTACCAATACTACCATATTTCCAATATATGCACACAAACTCATGAGGACAACAAAAATCAATGATCAAACACATCATATCAGTGCCAACACTGCAACTCAATCATA